AATGCAAAATACAAAAGGTTCACTTCTGTGGGAAGGTCCTGGTACAAGTTGTGTAACTTTAAATCATGCTATATTTGAGATATTTCAAAACATAATTTAAATCTTCACATGAAATTTGCCACTGTGATAAAAAGATATCACTTCAACATGAATTACCAGTACATCTATTTACAGCAAACATAACAACATGAACACATTGATCAGACACAATAAAGTTTAAGCACACTTCTTATTTAGTTATGTTGTTCCTAAAAAGGATATTTCATTTGTGGGATCTGAGTTTCACATTATCAAGACATTATTGACTTCATTACCAATATTAATATGTCTAAGTATACTACAGCAGGATACAAAATTTTATAAAATTCTTTACATAAATACAATTAAATATTACAAAATAACATGTAGTATAAAACATACAGTTGGTTCATCTGTGAAAGTGGTTATAAAGTGGTCCCGATCAAGAAGTTTATTTCACAGTTTTTTACATCCAATGCACAGCCAGTTATTAACCCTTTCCCTGTTGTGTAATACCACAGTACAAGCTTCATCTTCAGCACTTGATAATTATATGTTAGTCAAAAATTCTGTTTTATGGAACCTTGAGAATCTTCATCATGTTCACAAATGTTGCTATTCAATGTTATCTTAGAACATTTTAATCCAATTCACATTTCCATATCAGATTTCCCAAAGATCAGAGATAATATTATCATCCAATCTATGCACAGGTTTTTAAAGTGATGTCTTCCTAATCAGAATTCAGTATACATCTCTTTTTCCACAGCCTACTACATGTTTCACCCATCCCATCCTTACTGATTTAACAATTTGAGTCTAGTGACTGTACTAGTAATATCTGTCATCTTAACCTTTAACGACGAATGTCATACATATATGCATCGAGCAGCAACCCGTGTTGGCCGAATGTCTTATATATATGACCCAGGACACATGCACTCTTTGGGAGTGCTGACAGTTTGATCTTGGGCTTGAAACCAAAACAAACCCATGCAAGGTCATGTCAGAGGTTCATTTGTTAGCTCTGAACAATGAAATCGTTTATCTCGGTCCTGGTTTCTAAACTATTTACGTTTATATATGACTGTTTATGACCTGGTCAGCCAAATATAGCCCAGCATTGTTCTGAGAACTGAAGAGGAAATATTCCTCGGTGCTTGCAGATCAGTGCTTCCAGAGCATTCAAGGAAGTGTGACGTATTCAAGGATTGGTTGTCAGTGGCAAATCATGAGTTAGGACAAATTATAAATCACTCCGTCCAATGTGACCTGTAAGTTTTTTACTACGTAAAAACTTAACGCCCTTACATGTTTCGGTCTCTGTGGACCATCTTCAGAGGGCAAACATCACTACAAATAGGAAACCACTATCACATAATTTGTTTACACGCAAAGTATGTACACTTATATGTTACAACACACAGTACACAGAATAGAACGTTTCACAAACACAGCAGTTTCCTGGGAATGTAAGTTTTAAAAATGTATAAGATTCCTTGATGCTAATTAAAAGTTTTTATTAAAAGTCACATTATTATTACAGTCATTATTACAGGTCACATTGCACGGAGTGATTTATAATTTGTAATTGTTATTGTGATGGACCGGAATGAAACAAATCAAACTTATCAGTTAGGAAGTCAGTGTTGGATTGTGTAATATTTCTTTTTCACTTAAAAAATTAGTGTCAGACTGTCATATATTTCTTTTTATATTATTTTGTGTCTCGGAAGAGGTATAAACCCACTGAGCCAGTATTACTTTGTGAGTAAAAGACATCTTCGTCACTGTGACATTCCGTATCAGTGTCGGACTGGCACCTTTTAGACTACTATTACAGTTATTATTTTTTATTGCTAGTGGGGTGGGACTAAGTCCCTTGTACTGCTGCCACTTCTGGCCTATTGTACCATACTATTACAGTTACTTTGCATCACTATTTTGCGAGTCTTTGTCAATCAACATAATTTATTCAATTTTGCTGGAAACCCCCCCTCCCACAAGATGGAAACTCAAAAACGTGCCCAATATTCCAAACTTCTCGATGCAGCAGAACTGGAGGAAATATTGATGGAAGAGGAATCTGATGAAGAGTTAGAAGATATCACTGAGTTCACTGAACCTCAAGCAAATATGTTGTTGTCGTCGTCATCATCATCATCAGCAGCAGCAGCAGCAGAGTCAGAGGAAATGGAAATTAGGTTTCGTGATAGAAGACCCAGGGATTCGCCAAAGGTACTAGACATCACTGGTCCTCCAAGTGGAATCAACACATCAGCTGCTCCAAAGATAAATGCACAGTCCTCTCCTTTTTCCATTTTCATTCTGTTTTTCCAACAAATATTCCAAATCTTGTTACAAGAAACCAATAGACATTTCCACCAATTTATGGCATGCCAAGATGCTCTAGGCCTTTCTGTTCAACTGCCTGACGTTACAATTGAAGATATATATAACTTTTTGGCAATAATTATTGAAATGGGCCACGATCAACGGGAAACCCTCAAAGATTATTGGTCAAGAGATGACCAATACTACACTCCATTCTACCGTAACACCATGGTAAGAGACCGTTTCTTCCATATTTTGAGATTCCTACATTGTGAAAATAATGAAGCTCCTCCAAATCGAGATGACCCAGAGTATGAATAGGATCAGGAAAATTGGAAAAAATTTTGATAATCTCAACAACAAATTCTGTGAACTTCACAATCCAGCAGAACGTCTTGCTGTTGATGAAGTCATAGTGTTTTTCAAAGGAAGAGTGATTTTTCATCAGTATATTCCAAAGAAACACAAAAGATTTGGTGTAAAAATTTACAAGCTTTGTGATTTTTTGGGGTATACTTATGACATGACAGTTTATTTGGGCAAACAAAGGCAACTTGCAACAGAAGAAATTACATCTACGCTTGGCATTGTTCTCCAGCTAATTCGAAGAGTATAAAGCTTGGGACACAAAATTTACATGAACAATTATTTCAGTTCTCCTGCATTATTTGACGATCTTTTAGACAGGAAAATAAATTCGTGTGGCACCGTTCGCAATGATAGGCGTGGAATACCACAAGAAATTTGTAAAAATTGCTCTTTTCTGGATATGTAGAAAATTGTATTGTCTTTCAGATTCCTTTTAGTTCATATTTCTATGTTGCATAGAATGGGAAATATGCATTTTTTTCTGAAAGTGTGCAATGATAATTAATTAGGGTGATTTAAATTCTGGCCATACAGGGCTGCTGGCAATTTAAAAGTCCATACGTTAAAGGTTAAAAAACTAAATGCAATACTGACATGAAGTTTTCAGTGTTCAACAGCTCAAGCGCTGTGTAGTAACTGCTTTGTTTGCATATTGAGATACAATTACTTCCCATACAGACAACACATTTCATCTTTCCTGTTTCCTTTCCTAAAGCAGTCACCTTAACAATATTAAGTGGAGAGTACAAATTTTGAAACTTAAGTAAAGTGTGTCATTCAGTTAAACATCAGCAAATATTTACTGAACCAATACAGTTTGTCTATAATGCAACAATATTGTATCATGTAGACCCATTGTGGTCACTACTAGGTAGCGACCACAAAACAAACAGGTTCCCACAGTAACAAGTTCATGCACAACAATAGAGGAACTACTGGAAATGGTGTTTTCTATGCAGTCCTTGCCGAGACATTATAACTGAGACACGTTTAGGAGTGCATGAGTTGTAAGGGAGTCTGTGAAGAGAAGATTTAGTTGGTGGAGTTCAGAGCCAGCTGGCAATGAAGTGGGCGCAGAAGCTGAAGAATCTCCACTGTTAGAATTTGTTACCAAGGAACAACTGGTGAAGACACAGAAGACTGGAAAGACTTAGCATGTGCTGTACTGATTTGTAAAGTGTGGAGATCAGTGATGGTGATATAATTAAGTGTAGTCATGAGCCATGTGTTAAAGTGAGCAATAAATCCAACCTCCAATCCATACCCTGTCTGTCACTCATACATGTGACAATATAATATACATCACTGCAAATAAATATATAATATTTCTTGTAACATTTGAAAATTGCTTTGTTCGTAAGACAGTCTTTTATATTTCTTTAACTGGTGGGAAATTACAGAAACAAAAAAAAATGTGTTGTAGTACTGTGGGTATCTGTTACACCCAGTCTCCAATTAACAATACAAACGTATTCATGAAAAACATTGTATAAGGCAAAATCATGTTAAGCAGACATGAATTTCCCATGAAAATAATTTAACGTAATGGAGAAGTTAAATAATGTTAAGTCACAAAACCAGCCCTGTTGTTAACAACTACATTGCACTGAATTTGTGTTAGTAGAGCTCATGCTAGTTTTGGGCTGGACATACAACAGTTCCAACCATAGCAATGAAAAGGCTAAGAGGTGCTTATTAATTTAATCATTCAGATTCCAGGCTCTGCAATCAATATCAATAATGGTTGCCAACAGTCTGCATTTTATGATTCAAACTGAAATCAAGGTGGAGGATCTGGCAACAGACACTGTTAAATTATATTCACTTTGTGATTTCATAGAATTTTGAAACATATAAACATAATGATGCTAAATTGCATTTCACAAACAAACAACAGTCGATTAGCCTAAATGCTATAAAATATCTGGCATGTTGGTACTGAAATGTAATTCATACTGGGTATTAGTATAGACAGGTTCTTAGATATATAAAAGTGAACATACTCTGTCATCAGTATATTTACCAGGAGTTTCTGTATAAGTTAAGACTGCCTCTGTGGTCTAGCTGTCAGAGTTCCTGGCTACAGATGCAGAGGTCCTGGGTTCGATCCTGGAACTACCAGATTTTTTGAGAAGTAGCGGGTCTGGAACTGGGTCCACTTAGCCTCATGATAACTGGGAAGCTATTTCAAGGAAACAGGAGCTCCAGTCTAGAAAACCGAGATTAACGGCCGCAGGGATCCATTGCGCTGACCACACAACACCCTCTATCTACTAAAGTTGGCACTAACTTTGCCGACAAGCGGCAGTCCCTTGGTCGGTATAGATTGCTTGTGGACTACAGGCCATGGAGTTCCTTCTTGCTTGTTCTGTACGAGTAACAATCAGAAGTGCAGTAAATTTCAGGCAAGCAGAATGCATTAAGCTTTCAGATCTCCCATTGTACATTCATTCTGAGAGCAAAGATGACAAGTAGTGAATGGTTGTGCATACATTCAAAATCTGCAGAATGTACTAGCTCAGACTTTACTAGTTGTACAAGTATATGTTATCTTACAGAATTAAAGTTACAACAGTGGTGGTTATGAAACTGACCACAATATAAATGATCATAACATTTTCCAAAGGAAATCTTACAAAATAAAGGTGATCAATCCTCACCATATTTATCACACCATGCTGAATTGTTATCTACCATATGTTTTCTGAATGAAATGTTGCATTGCTTTTGTGAAGATGTGTTGAATCTTGCCACAGTTGGTGGATGTAGTTAGTTCTAAGTAGTTTCGCATGGTTGAAAACAGATTGACATACAAATCAGTGCCCAACTGGTACTGCAACAAAGAAATTTATGATAATCAATTAATCAGCTGACAGATTCATTCAACAACAAACACAAAATGCAAATTCAGAATACAGTGAAATGTGGTCACAGCAAAATAAAGTACATAAAATTTCACATCTGATCATTAGTGTGCAACCATTCTTGAAAACTGTATGTTGAAATATCACTCTTCACAAAATTTAATAGAACTTCTCTTACGCAACTGGTAAACTCACAAGTAGAAAAAGAGAATTTGCAGTGTCTACAGCATTTTTCAACCTTCTCCATATAGTGGCACACTAAAGTGAAGATCAGTGTCTCACAGCATACTAAACTGCTTATTATTGTGTCCTTGACTGGCCTGGGGTTAAAAGTTTTGAGAGTCAACAAGATCCTATGTGAATGCATGGTGATCTGCATTTGTGAGACAAGCTGCACATCTGAAGAATGCACTGAGCACCAGATCGACCTCCAGCTACACTATTTGGAATGCTTGCTGGTGATACAGAAATCAGTCAACCAAGCGCACCAGATACACTCCGAAGACACAACGGCACTAGCCATACTACCCCACTACACCAGCAGTTAAATGACTACCCACGAACACCAGTTGCCAATAATTCTTTGGTGCACTCCCTGGGCTTTAAAAGAGATCAGTGCACAACTTTCACAGTTCACCATCCCCAATGGCCCAGACATGGTGCCACCCCCCATTGACTGTGATGATGGAGGCAGAATGTACCTCCAAAACATCAGCATCATTATCCACGTCCAACAGTTAATCACCATGTAATCCTAAAGTCATTCTAAATGTAGCTGTATTTCAAAAAGTCTTTTAAGTTCAAAGCATGAAAATTCAGTGAAATCATGACCTAACTGTCCTCAAGGGTTGTAATGTATAACAGTGGATCACAGTGTGATCCAGTTCCTTACAATAAATAAGAATATAAATTTACAGTAACTGGCAACAATTTTGTGCTAAAATTTCAACAAGCTTTATGTTAGTACAATAACATCATTTTTGGATCTGCTTTAGTAAGTTATTTGCATCAGTTTTCCCGTTACCACAGATAACTGACAGTCAACTGTAAATCCTTTGTATGTTACAAACTACAAGTTGGGAAATGTATGCATAGCATAACAATTCTGATGCATTTGCTCACTTTTATTTATATTATATTTCATCATCCTGTTGCACTGTATAATGCAACAATTTAAATTTTAAACAACATTAAATCACATTTAATGTATGGCACAGTTCATTGAATGTTTAAAATGTCTCTAAGATATATGTACATTCAATGTTTATGCTACACGTTTCAGCCATATAGGGCTATCTTCAGGTGACATGATTTTAAAGGAGCCAACCGCACTGTGCACTTGGTCAAATAGCACTCTTAAGGCACGTTGTTGTTATCATTAATTTTTATGACGTGGGATGTTTTCTTCCTATCTTTTGTATTTTGGCTGTTCGTCGTCCCACTGGGTGTGCCACTCTCTTGGTGTGTGTATGTAGTGTTGCTTTTTGCTCCTTCTATGGAAAATAGAACTATAAGTGACACTTTTATTTAATTACACAGGGAACCATAAGACTTACGATAAAGTGTAATGGACATAAAATAGTTGTTTAATTTTCCTCTACAACTCTTGCTCAAAATATTTTTTGCCCCAGTAAATATGTAGTCAATAACACTTAATACAGATATACATGTAAGTCTTCCTATAAACTGTCTATTACTGTTCTCTGATTTTGTCTGAAACTAAAATGTGCGAGTACCTTTACTGTAACTCACAAATATCAAATTTCATGAAAATCCATGCAGCAATTCTTTGAGTTATTATATGCAGATGTAACAGAGACAAACAGATATGGCAAGGTTACTAGGTGCGTCACTGCAACTCCTCATTGTGAATGCACCAAAATAGTAATGGCATGAACATCTTACATTGCCTGAAAACTTCAGGCTTCGGGAATTAATACATATTAGAAAATATCATACACAAAAATACATAAGTATATTTATAATTTCTCCTATCTGGTTTATACTTTCTTACTTTTATCTGCCACATTCTTATGATGTACACCTACTCTTACAAACTTCAGAAGACCTATGACAGACACAACCATTTCAAAGCCAGACTTAAAAATGCAGTGAACTTTGAGAAAAATTCAAGATAATATTCTAGTCTGCTCAATTATTGGCACTGCACACTTCATGGGTCATCCATATTGTGCATTTGGTATTCATTATGAAACTCATAGAAATTTGTAGTGCATGAATTGCTGGAAAGTAAATGAATAAAGTGATTCTACCTCCTCCATTGCTCGGTAGATAGCTCGAAATGCTGGTTGTTTCTCTGCATGAAAGCTGCCTCGACTACCATGTAATACTGCAATGCCCTGAGACTCTGCACTCTTGCATACTGACATGTACATGCAGTGGTCTGGTCTGTAGTTATATCGGCATGGGTAAACATACAGTTTATCTGTACACACATGAAACATGTACATAATAACTCTGCAATGTTTCTACAGTAACAACTCAAATTTCATTACTATTTTTGCAGTCACTTGCTTCTGACCCTTGGCATACTGAATGACATTCTACCTAGTGTAAGGTAGAGATGACCTGTCATTAAGGGCCAGAGGGGTCAGGTTTCACCAACATTTACTGCTTCAATGTATAAAAAGTAGTTTGATGAATTCATAATTTACTTGTATTTAGCATGAAATAAAAGCAGTTTGTTATGATTCTAACATGTTTATGTTATGTATGGCACAAGAAGACATTTCAAAATCCACAGAGAACTTGCCGCAGTTGTAAATTCATGGTGGTCTTTGCCTCAGTGGCCCTGGCCTTAGCTCACATTTCCACAGAAGTTCCTTCCACTTCCTTACAGTACTTGACAGATATCGCACCTTCTCACAAGTCTGTTCTCTTGCTATGGCGCCAACAGAATGGGGCCCTCATAAAATTCCATGTGTATTCAAGTCTTCCCCATATGTCTGAACATCTCTTACTCTCCCTCCCACTACAGGTTCAGTACACTGTGAGAAAAGCATGTGCAGAAACATTTTAGGTTTCCTGCATTATTTATTTGTGTGAGATTAAATAAGACTTAGTGCTTGTGTGCTTATCTGTTTATGTCAAGTGGCAAGTCTCCAATGTGAATACAGCTGAAAGTTATTAGAAATCCCATGTAAATGCTAAAGCACAGAGTTAGCAATAATTTCAAGGATATTACAGCAGTAGAGAAGAATATAATTTCAGTGTTAATACTAAATAGGTATCATATGTGAAAAGAAGCCAATGAAAAATTGTCAAACTGAATTTAAAGACAATTTCAAGACGATGAGGATCAGGAATATCTAGGTACTATCATCATCAAAGACCCTGCAAGAGAGATGTGAGGGGAAACAGCTGGTCCAGCAATAGTCCCCTTTTAGGCCTGAATGCACCCCTGCTGAAGCACCTGCAGTATACGAAGGGGGGCCCAAAAATAACCGGAAATGACCTGTTGCGCGCGCATGCTTTGTAGTTACGAGTTGTGCTGCTAGGTGGTGTTAGCTGGGGGTCTCCCGCGACTGTTAGTGAGCTGGCGTCAGTCTGAGTTAAGTGGTTTGTCTGTGGTGCTCTGTTGTGTGCGTTCCTGTTTCAACCCTTTGGCGATTAGTGAGATGGCCGACCAGAAGGAACAAAGAGTGTGCATGAAATTTTTCTTTCTGTTAGGGAAAACTGCACTTCACTCTTGAAGTCGCGGCAAACATTCACGCGGTTTTCTCTATGGTCATCTCCGAGCAAGCGAGGGACAAATTTTGCAGACACCCGTCTCATGTGCAAACCTTCGGTTAAAATTCGCTGGACCGTGCTCCATGAGATGTTCGTTTCCTCAGAAAGTTGGTCAATGGTATTTCGATGATCTTCATCAATTTCACGCACACTCTTTGTTCCTTCTGGTCGGCCATCTCACTAATCGCCAAAGGGTTGAAACAGGAATGCACACAACAGAGCACCACATACAAACCACTTAACTCAGACTGACGCCAGCTCACTAACAGTCACGGGAGACCCCCAGCTAACATCACCTAGCAGCACAACTCGTAACTACAAAGCATGCGCGCGCAACAGGTCGTTTCCAGTTATTTTTGGGTCCCCCCTCGTATAATCACTGTCTGTTTGTTCATCTGTATAGTTGACCCCTGAGCAGTAGGGGGCATAGATGAGTTTAACAGGATCTGACTCCTCCTTCGACCCAAAGGGGCACTGTATTTCTACCAAAAGGAGTAAGGTGTTCAGATGCATTCCATAATGGGGTGCAGTCTCTTTGATTAAAATGTTCATGGCAACACAAAATTAGCCTAAAATTTAAAAAAAAAGGATACTGTGTGGTGACATAAAGTAAACTCTTGAAACACGAACATTTAAATAACAACATGAACTTCAGTCACTTTACTTCAGTACTGGCACTGAGAGTGACATGGACTTCATTGGTCCTGGTGCCATCTGTTTTGACAGTCATGAGCCACCATTCATGTGAGGTTACATAACAATGAATGATGGTATCATTATGCAAAGTAGCTGCAGTAATTCATTTTAAAGTAGTATAAAAGCATTTGGCTGGAGCCAATTTGTAAAATCATGAAAAACCCTGGGACAGCCTATGCACCAGGATTCAAACATGGAACCTCTAGAATACAAAATAAGAATACCCTGCCATTAAGGGGCCCAAAAGTTCATAAAAATCATAAAAGAACTCAATACTGGACCACACCATGAGCTAACTCGATTCAATGAACATAGTCACAAACTATGAGTACTTATATAATAACCATTTTAACATTACCCTCTCACCTATGCTTAGTTTGACAAAGTGGTCTTATACTGTGACGTTTTCCAAGAAATGTTTTGTATGAATTCTCGTATGTAGTGGAAGGATGAGCAGGAAGGAATTTAAATGCTAGTTTATTGTTTATTTTGTTCTTGTGGTACTCTCATCAGTTCCCCTTGGGCTACTGTTTGTATCTTAACATTTTAGGGGAGCCTGCATGCCACCCACATGTGAGAGCTATGCTGGTAGGGCACAAGCTAATGGTAGTCATCTGTGATAGACAGGATGAAGGGTAGGGACCATAGAAAAGGTAGCCATAGATTCTCCAGTTTAGGAGGTTGGATGTGAAGATAACAACCTCACTTCAGAAAGCAATGTATGTTATGAAACCCAATGATGGATGTCAGGTGGATAATTTAGTGAACCAGTAAGGACAGGCTGGATAATACAGACTGCTTTATGAAAGCTGAAAGTGAAGTGTGGCGAATCCATCTTATTTTGTATTTTGGTTATTCAGACCTGTTATGGATATAAAAAACAGAATCTTGTCAAACTCGTTTTCTATTCTTTTTGTGGGGGGGAACCTGTTATGTGATCTTCCCAACTTCTTTTGCATTGTTCCATACATTCTTATATTTATGGAACCTGTAGTTATTTCACAATTTCTTCATTTCTTTTATGGCCTAAATTATGTTTACCTCATTGTCTTCATAAATGTATCTTTGCTGATAACAATCTTCCTTATCATTTATTAGTGTCACTAATTCACTAGCATAATATAATGCAAACAATTGGTAAGACTATTGGTAGGACTTCTTATTGCTTTCAACATACTGCATAAATAGCACTGGGCTGAAATGATTATACATGATAAATGGGTGAAGATAAGGGAAATGTGACAGAGAAAGCCTATTTTAAAGTACTATCCAAACACAACTGAGGAATAGATGAAAATCATAAAAAAAACCTGAGTCAAGATGTGCCTCAGGTTAAGCATTTTAATCATATTCCTACCAAATGTCAGTCAGACTACTGTGCGTAACACTAAATGAATCTCAAAACACTTACCTGAACATGTAATCAAATGTACAGAATCATAAATCAAAATCTTCAAATTCATAATAAACAGAGCATTAGGAAATTTAGTTTGTATGAGACACAAAATGGAGGAACTCAAGAGATCAAACTCCTTTCTTACAAACATGCTGCAATAATATTATTAGTAATGCACATGATTACCTGGATGAAAATGAAATATAATATTGATGATATCCTGATCACCCCATGTGATTTTCAATTTATACTCTTTGTAAATTGGTACAACATAGTTAGTCCAACTAAATGCTCTCATGCGTGTGAGATTCATCAGCATGACACCAGAGTTCACTCCTGAAACACACAACACAGTACAGTAGTAATGGGTGAAGTTAAATGAATTCCTTAACCCTTAGTACATTTAGTAATATTATAGAATTTCAGGTAGTACATTGTAGCATAATTGGTTGAGGCATTATGCTACAAGGTGAAAGGTCATAGGTTCAATTGCCGATGAGGTCATTGGATTTTTTCAATTTATGTAATCCGTCCAGCTACACTATGGCCTTGGGGTCGACTCAGCCTCTAACAGAAATGAGTACCAGGTATTTCCCTCAGGGCTAAAGGGTGGCCGGTGCACAAGGCTGACAACCTTACTGCCATCTATGAGCCGATTGGCTAGAGAAAATGTGGATGCCTTGATGTCTCACTACCCTATTGGATTTCACTGCCTGTTAAAAGGATTCCTTTACCTGTTACCTTTTATTTGTGCCTAAAAATTAAATTTGAGTACATGTTCCTTTGTTTCAGCACTTTCTGTTCATTCATTCATTCATTCATTCATTCATTTGAAAACTGGTGTGCTTGTAATGAACTGAGCAAATGGATGAAATATTTTCACCTGCTTATTTTCATATTTCCTTTTGCTTAAATCTATTTATATGTGTTAATGAATAGTAATTGTCACTGATGATCTTTGGAAAGTCTTGTCTATAATGATGCGTAAAAGAAGTTAACTACATTATTTCAGAACCAACTTTCTGGTAATTTTAGTCTCTGCCAATACCAATATATTGGTAACTTGAACTTTATGCGGCAACAATGCTGACAAAATAGGAACCAGGTAGGCAGTCCAAGTCACATTAAAGTGTTCAAGAGTTCAGTTTGGCAGAAGAAAACAGTGACATGATAGTACTGACAACCTGTGACCTGATAAAAGAATATGAACTGAGAGTTAACCAAAGCCACAGGAATTAACATACATATACTTAACTAAAGTGGGAAGCACAACAGACCACTGTAGGTCGCGGTGCAGGGGCCAAGATGGTCCACCCCTTATACATTCATTCATAACTAAAGTGGGGGCATGTGGTAATGTAGTTTGTTGAGGCACTATTCTACAAGCCAGAATGTGGCAGGTTTGATTCCCAATGACATCATTGGATTTTTCAATTGACTTAATCCTTCCAGGCGCACTATGGTCCAGGGGTCAACAGAGCCTCTAACAGAAATAAGTACCAGAAATCTTCCTGGGGTTAAACAGTGACTGGAGTATAAGGCTGACAACCTCACTGACATCTGTGAGGTGACTGTCTAGAGAAAATGTGGGAGCCTCGATGTCTCACAACCCTAAGGGCTTCCACAGCCTGTTACAGGGATAGCTTTTCTTTTCACCTTTTATTCATAACGGAAGTTGATACTTATTTGAGGATGGTTGCCTTCCTTGTCAATATCACAATGCTGCTTAAGCTTTAAAGAAGGAATACGAGACATAAGAGATGCAAGGCACAGAAAAGTTAAATTCTACATACACTAGATAATGAGGGCCACCAACGTCAAGTGTATGGGTTCTGTATCACTAAACAATTCATCATATGTGGCACAGCACTAATGAAGTATGAAAGACCCTGTAGTTAGATACCCATAGTGCTAGAAAATACAGTTACTAAAAATGTAATCTGTTTTGTCTGATGACTACAATTTCTACAACAGAGGGAAGTCTAAGAATGTTTATTACAACTTCAAAAAATACTATATATATTTGTGATATAGCAATATCAATGAACAACAATTCCAGAAACACCCCAACTAAGGATTGTAATGTTGGAAAATAACAATATATTCAAGAATATAATCATTTATGATGTGTACAATCACTGTCAAAATCTGTGTATGTACTGATAGTCAAAAGTCAGCAACAATACAACAGTACTAGGTAAAGGTAAAGTTGTCTCTGTGCTTAACTATTTAAGAACTACATCATGAAGGTGTATGGGGGAGTGGATGTGCAGATCCACTCAAGATTCAGATCACCTTTTAAGCACACAATGTGTTACATAGCACTTGCAAATCTGATTTATAAATTTAGCAAACAGGAAGTGATGAAATTTTGTCGGTGTATTCTGCTGGGATTTCAAGGCATGAAAAACAAATAAAATTTATGAAAGCAGCAGTTTTAACAGATCATCTAGAAATCCAGAATAAATGTGGACAGTTATGCCCTACAGCATGTACGAGGGTCGTACTGAAAGTCATGAGCAACAATTTCTTGTAAAGTAACATGCTTTATTATTGACAAACCAAATACACCACCTCAATCTACAGACCTTTCTTTATTTTTCCACATAATCGCCACTTCTTTGTACACATTTCTCCCAGCGTCCTGGGAGTTTGAAAATTCCCCTTCTGTAAAATTTTGTTCCAGTCATCCGAAGACACTGACGCACTGCTTTCTGAATTGCCTCCCTTGCTTCAAAACGTTGTCCACGCAGCTGATCCTTCACAAATCCGAAAAGATGGTAGTCGGAGGGTGCCAGATCAGGGCTATAGGAGAGGTGTGGAAGAACTTCCCACTCCATCTTTGCAGTTGCTTCCAATGTGACTTCTGTGGTCTTCAGTCAATAACCGCGGGACCCAACAAGCACAAACTTTCCTATATCCCAAGCTTTCAATCATCTCCTGTACTGCACTGTGCCCTATTCCAAGTTTTCGGGCTATTGTGTCCACAGTCACACGCCTGTCATCTTGAATGATCTCATCCACTCTTTCCTTGTTGCATTCAGTTGAGGCTGTTCGAGGACGACCGCTCCAAGGCTCATCTTCGATGCTGGTGTTCCTATTTTTAAATGTTTCACCCATCTTTGAACACTGCTCGCACCCATGCACACACTTCCATAAGCATGCTGAATTCAGAAAGCAGTGCATTAGTGTCTTTGGATGGCCGGAACAGAATTTTACAGAAGGGGAATTTTCAAACTCCCAGAACACTGGGAGAAATGTGTACAAAGAAGTGGCGATTATGTGGAAAAATAAAGAAAGGTCTGTAAATTGAGGTGGTGTATTTGGTTTGTCAATAATAAAGCATGTTACTTTACAAATATTGTTGCTCATGACTTTCAGTACAACCTACGTAATATATAACCAAACTAAGAAGTGAATGGTTTATTGCACCATGTTTCATTTGAGTGTATGTATTTTCCAGAGATTTATTGCCATGACAGTTTAAATGGTCTAACTGAAGCAAGAAACCTATCCATCTAACTTCCTCTCTCTCTAATCAATGAAGTGCTGGGCCAGAGATGAAGCTCCAAACTTAAAGACTGGGGATGTGATAATGTGATGCCTGGTCAGAGCCATCACAATCCCCTCATGATGATTAGCTGGAGAAAACTGAAGAAATGTGCAGAAAAAATTGCTCGTGCCACTTTGTCCACCATGAATCCCACATGAACTCACCTGGGATTGAATACAAGGCTTCACATGAAAAGCTAACATCTAACCATCTAAGCTACAGCATGAAAGAAACCTAAATACTATAGCATGTAGACCAACTACTAAATAAGGACTCTGTAAACAATGCCCATTATTTAGCAACAGATTCCTAACATGCACCAATGGACTAACTGGGAAGCAGTGTTTTCTGCGCAGTCCACTAAGCAATAAGTGAACAACAACAGTTGAATGGTGTTTTCTGTGCAGTCCATGCCAAGATATTATAAGCAGAACAATTAGTGAGAGTTAATGCAGTGCAGAGAAGTGAAGAGATGGTTGGTGAGTTAGTGAGTTCATGAGAGAAATGCAGTTCAGTTGTTGTGGACTGTTGCTGTTAGAAGCTGGTAGCTGAGGCACAGGAATAGTTCAGAACCAAGAGTGTGGAGAATGCCTGTCGTTGGAAGCCATCACCAAACAAACATCTGGTGAAGACACAGCGGACTGAATAGACTTAGTGCATGCTGTAGTGAACTGCAGAGTATGTGAATTAGCAATAACACTTTAGTTATTTGTAGTCACGTTCTATAACAGTTCAATAAATCCAATTACCAATCCAAACAATGTCTGTAGTAACTCTACTATGTGACAATACATTTTCTTAATCATATCATGTGAAGAGTACAACTGTCATAATACCTCAGACTTGCTCTCCTTAATGAGAGGGACTGTGTATGGTATCTTGGATAGAGTAATAATATACTCATCTAACAGACCAGTCAACTGATATTTTCAAGCTTGTAACTACCAAAGTGCAGTATTCGGTGTTAATCTTCATGGAGTATAAATGCACAAATCTTGAGCCAGAATCTCTTTACAATGAGGAAACCTAAATTATATAATAGAAACAAACTCTTCCTAATAAAGGGTAATTATGATCCTACATCATGGATTCAACTGGGAAGTTGTCCACATATTCTATGCTATCTTGTGACGGCAGAGGTATTCTAACAAGTCAATTTTCCATCCAAGGAGTCCTACCAAGTTTCAGAGATTACATCATAATTGAGTCTCAGTTGGAAGAGGAGAAACAGCTTACTCCGCACAGACAGAAAAAGAAGAGTGTGTGATACTATACTGTATAAACTTACTTGAACATGTGTGTGTTATACCACAATCAAAATTTACGTCATTATTTTAAAATATCATGATTGGTCATGTTTTACGCAGAAACTGCCTTCTAAAAGAAGCTATCGAAGGAAAGATAGATGGGCGGATAGAAGTGACAAGAAGACAAGGAAGAAGACGTAAGAAGATGCTGGATGACCTTGGGGACAGAAGAGGATACTGTCATTTGAAGGAGAAAGCTCTAGATCGCATTAAGTGGAGGAATTGTTTTGAAAGAGACTGTGGACCTGTCGTCTTGACAGATTACTGATGATGATGATGATTTTTAAATACAGGTTCTCTCTTGTAAAGCTAATTAGGTATGTTTTGAAAGTGTAGCTGCAGTTAACAACAAAATGGGACTTTAAGAAAAATACTTACCTAAACGTCCATAGTATGGGTGTTTGGCAAAGCGATTGTACCAGCCTGTGTTTGGATCTTCATGCTCTGGTGTAAGTGCTGCCATCTGGGATGCATTCATTAGGTCAAAATGTCTCCAAACATCTTCTAAAGGGCCAAGAAATAATGTATCCGTATCAACATAGAGAAGAGAATCGACATCACTCAACACAGTCTGAAAATCAGCGAACAGGTAAGACATGTATTTAATTCCATTTTGGTATCCATAAAAATAATGTGATGTATTGGCGCTATGCAGGAGCTGTTGAGCCACAGGGGCCTTGGGGCATGCGCGCAACATGAAAGTTGCAGACTTTATCGGCGTGTTGCTAGGCGATAACTCTGTGAACGCTTGGATGATGCAACAGGAAGTGCGAGTGATGTCACATACCCCCACTCATCCCATTGCTGCGCGACATTTGGTAAGCACCCCTCCCCGCTAGGCTGTGACGTCATGCAACGGTAGGTCTCGCATTGCTAGGCAATGCATGAGTAGACACACCTGAGAGCAATACCTGATATCTGTTGCCGGGCAGCAATGCGTTTTCTATGTGGTCCGTGCCGAGCCTATATAAGGAGCAGTATACACTATTCAGGCAGTATTGAGTAAGAGCTGTTACGAGCAGTATTGAGTATTGAGCATGAGTTACAAGCAGCTGAGAGTGATGGAAGCAAGTGCTGTGGAACCAGGATTGTCAAGGGTGATTTAGAAGACTTTATGTGTGCAACAGTGCAGTGATATTGGAAGTGTAATTGGAAGATCTCATGTTCAATATCGGGACTGATTTGAAGTGCCAAGTCCTGTGTTGAGATACAGTACCTGGAGAGGACTAGTGGTGTGCATGCAACAGTGGCTTATGAGGTGTATGTAAAGCAGCAATAGCGCTGTGATTTGAGTGTAACTGAGAGAGTGCTTGTAACCATGCTGTCAATAAATCCAATTATCTGAACCAGAACCCGTCATTTTGTCACGCATACCTCCTGCATGTGACAATAAGTTTAAACAAGTACACACACAAATACAAATGCATAAATCAGGCGTGACCAATTTATAGCCCACAGACAAGACACTACTCATGGAACCTCTTCATATGGTCCCTTTAATATATCAGTAAATAGCTTACAACAATGGTGTGGCAACTGGAAGTAAATGGACTTTGCTCCACAATTCAGTATCATGGTATTTGTTTGATTTTGTGGTGTCAATCAATTTTATTTTGCAGAACAGTAGGTTCATTATTTGGTATGACTACTATGTCAAGAACAGTCACTAAAGACAGATGGCTCAGACCACTCAGTGTTTTATTTAAGATAGCAGTCAGTTTCCTCAAAGTAGTGTGTGACTGCTCATATCAATCAACAAATACTGCAAAAATTATCAATTAATGGTGCAATTACCATCCCACCATCCATAACCACTCTCATGAGAAATTTTCTGTACAATCGTTACTCCCCAGCAACAGCACTGTCACTTCATGGAAATACTTTGAACTCTGAAAACATTATAAAAGTTGTGGTGTCAGCTGTAAACCTCATTCAATCTTGCGGACTTAATCATCACCAGTTTTCAGTTTTTTGTCAGAAACTGATACTGAATATGGGCACATCTTGTGCAACACAGAAGTCTGAAGGCTAAGACATGGGACATTGTTGAAATGTACAGCTCTGAGGCTAGAAATAAAGATGTTCATGAATGAGAAAGGCAAAGTTGTGAAGTTAGTGACAAAAAGTGGCTTTACAATTTGCCAGAACCATGTTAAATCAGTCACTACCACTTAAACAGATTTAATACCAAATTTCAAGTTAAAAAAAACTGATTTGTGATATGTGTGGGACTGTCAGAGCTTCCAAGTTTCAGAAACAGTTTACAAAATATTAACCTGTGTCATTTTTCTTCTGGAAATTTGCTTCTTAAGGACAAATCAGTAAGTGTTCCCTTTCCAAGGGTCTGTACTGCTGAAAAGATTGATTCCTTCATTGAGAATTTTAAAAAGCAATTCAATAATTTTCATAGCAGATATACAAGTGAACAGAACTGTTTATGCATGAAACAAAACAAATCAAAGTTCCATTCAAGAAATAACCCATTTGCACTTAAATTATGTAATGCAAACTGGCACTTAAAAAATGAGACCAAATGTTCATTGTCTTGTGGACCATACACAGGTCAAAGTTTCACATTAATAAAGTAAGTTAAGTCAGTTATTTTTACTAAAATGTTGAATTTTGTGTTGGTTAGTTATGGGAGAAATATCTGAATGCTCCAGCCCATGCATCTTTCAATGTAGCCCACCTTCCTGAAAGGTTGACAGTCCTGGCATAAATAATGAGCATATCCTGTTATTTTATTCACAGGCAGGCTTTATACGTGAAATAAATACAAATATGGGAACACTGATTGTAAAAACAATGTTTCACTAGTCTTTTTCCAGACTGCTCAAGTATAACCTGACTGTAATGAAATCTCACATAACAAAAAACAAACTCCATGGCCTGTAGTCCGCAAGTGAACTATACCAACTGAGCGACTGCCGCTTGTTGGCGAAGTTAGTGCCAACTATTTTTCTTTTTTTTTGCAGATAGAGGGTGTCACGTGTTAGTGCAGTAGATCCCCATGGCCATTAATCTCAGTTTTATAGACTGGAACCACTATTTCCTTGGAATAACTCCTCAATTATCCTCATGAGGCTGAGTGGTCCCCGTTCGAGACCCACTACTTCTCAGAAAATCTGGTAGCGCTGGGAACCGAACTTGGGACCTCTGGATCTGTAGCCAGGAACTCTGACCACTATACCATAGAAGCAGTCAATAAAATCTCACATAGTCACAACAATCTACGCGTAAGACAATGTTCTCTTTTATTGGTGGGTTTTCTGCTCCAAGAACAGATTCATGCAAGTGTCTAGACTGTGAACTTGCATAACTCTCTAACATAATGATGAAGGATTTGTGCAATCTAAAATAATGCATACACAATACATCCAGTAATTGTTGTTAAGTGCATAAAGTAAAAAGTAAAATTAAAGCTATCCCTGTAACAGGCTGTGAAGGCCCATAGGGCTGTGAGACGGTGAGGGTCTTACATTATCTAGACAATCGGCTCAAAGATGGTGGTAAGGTTGTCAGCTTTATGTGCCAGCTACGCTTTACTCCCCAGGAAAATTAATTAATTAATTCCTGGTACTCATTTCTGTTAGAGGCTGAGTCGACCCAAGGGCCATTGTGCAGCCGGAAGGATTAGGTAAACTAAAAAATCCAGTGACCTCATTCGGACTTGAACCTGTGACCTTCCAGCTTGTAGCATAGTGTCTCAACCAACTACGCTACCGCGTGCCCCTAAGTGCATAATGATGTTAAAATTTATTTCAATTTATTAATACTTACAGGCAAGAAAAGTCTTTGAGAGGCACAAGGTTTGAACAGTTTCCTCCACTCATCCGTATTCCCCTGCAGAGGGAAAGTGATTGGAAGAACCTTGTATGTAAATGAATGGTTTGTTGATGTTCTCCAAACATTCAGCTGAAATATGAACAGGAACAACAGTTAAAGGATGCTGAGACAGCAACTTCTGCCACTGAGAAAGAGGGACAGAAAGGATTAGACTTAAAAGGATTAAAAGTATCAGATTATCCTATACAAAAATCAAACTATCTCACAGTCATTTTACAAATTGTGTTAAAACTCATCCCATTAATGAGATCAAACAGACAGAAGCATGTCCCCTCTCCCTGGATTTTTTTTTTGGAAGAAGATAACATTTGAGGGGAGGTGATATACCAAATGGTGATAACAAAAATCAATCAAAACTCAATCAAAACGAAGACAGCACACACACACATACCCAGCAGGCCCAGCAGTATAACACACGCAGTCACAGGAGCAAGACACAACACAAAGCACAATACACACATGAAAGNAAAATTAAATTGTTTTAAAAAATCAGTATTCTGAATAGTCTAGTGAAATCTCAGAAGTTGTCTTAAATGGCTTAAACTTAAGTGTGTAAGTACATTTTTTGGCTTTCTCCTTTGGTAAAAATCCTGGTGGAGTCCACACACCCTCTAGAGCATTACTGTTCTGTTCTTCAGATCTTATCAATATCAAGTTTTGCAGATAAACTAAGCACAGGAACTTGTTAACAATAATACATTCAATGAATAAAATTCAACCTTTTCCTTGAAGCTTGCAATCAGAGGATCATCAGCAAGGACAATGATGTTCAGTGGTTTCTGAGTAAAAAGGATTGCTGACTTTATCATAACCAATGTCTCTGATAGGCGATCACCACATGCCACAACTGCCAGCACAATCTGACTGTAAAAGAAGAAATTAATAGGAACTGAATACGTTCACAGCAATCAGTACTTCCCCAATCACCAGTATCCAACAGAAATCAAATATCTGTCAAAATGTTAGGTATGTGAGGTCATGTTAAACTATTACTGAATTATTCTGGCAGTAAAATCAGAAAATTTCCCACCCTGAGAGAAGATGAGAACATTTATATGTTCAGTTGTGCCCCTCGCCCCTTCTACACAACACACTATTTACGAAGAATTACCTTCCTTGCATAGAGTTTTTGTACATATGAAGGCGGCTTCCAAGTTCACCATAATTCTGCAAGCTTAATAACTCTTCATTAGACTGTACCTCTGAGACACCAATAAGTTCCCTTCTGTTATTACTTAAACCGTCTGTCCATACAATTTGATTCGAGAGTCCGGCTTGTGAGGAGTTAAAATAATTCACAATAACGTAAAAAAATATTACGCTAAGAATTGAAAAAATAATTACAAATCTTGATATTGATTTCATGCTCCTGCACATTTAGCACCGGGGTAATATTTATGCTAATACTTTGCATTTCAATTATTATACTTCATTTTATAGACAAATTAAAGCACCCACAAACAACATGCATTTAAGATTTAGGATGGCCAATTAAGTATGCGGCAAGAATATGTACGTAATGAAAGTGAGTAAATTATATATCATCAAAACTCTACAGTACTTCAACAAGCTAAAAGTCACACTTCGTATGTGCACTTAAACTCTTCTTAATATTCCTAATACTTGTGAAATAATATTTATTGGTTGTCAATGACCGTCAATGACATAGGTTGGTAGCACTGAGAAAACCAGGACGACCAGGACAGGTAATTGCAGGCATTGCTGGACTTTGTGGGCGTTGGAGGGGTTACGCGAGTTGTACGGTTTGTAGGTAACGGTAGGTCCGGTAGGTGATCTTAAGACAGCATACATAGAACAGAGCTATTATCACGTCCAACAGATTAAATATGGATATTTAACTGTATTTATGTTCAGAAAGCAAATATCTCACACTTCGGCATATTTTCCCCGTAGCATTAATATATTTCAATAGAACTAAAACGACTACGAATTTCCAACACAGAAAATCTAAAATATTTTAACATCCCTTCCTCTAGCAGTTAACCGAATATTTCAATGCTTGTAGCAGAAGTTAGAACAATTGATAATTTGGAACTTGGAAACTCGGGAATGGGGGGCGGGGACGAGGATGACGACGACTAATACACACGGAATGCTACGAGGACCCCGGTCTGCTACCAGTACAACAACAGAGCATTACTTACGACGAGAAGGCGTAACGGCTTGGCATCTATCGAGCTATCGAGCGTCATAAGCACGTGGAACTTCCATGGAAAAGTAAGGCAAGGTCCGCAACGAACTTCATGTAACCGATACAAATTCTGCCCACTAAAATATCCATTTATGGGTTAGAAAACGTAAACAAATGAGAAATTAATCAGACTACTTTTATTCCATACTGCTTGCAAAGGTAAAATGTAAAGTTGTAACAAATTAAGCACTACGTCATGAAGACGTATGGGGGCGTAGATGCATAGATCCACATTTTCTTGACATCGGCATTAGCTGGAAGTGAGTGGTCAGCTTCATGCACCTGCCTCTTTCCCCCAGGTATCCATTGGATGGGAGGCTGGGTGGGCCACATAGCTGGTATGGACGACGTGGAGAAGAGAAAATTCTTGACCCTACTGGGACTTGAACTCTGACCCCTCGGTCATCCAGCCAGTCGCTATACCCTCGACGCTAATGCAATCAAATTAAAAATTCATGGAATCCAGTTATGTACACTGAAGCATTAAATATTGTTACCATTGGCTGGTATTGTCCATAAGGTAATGAGAATTTTTTCAGCACCAGTTCTCAGAATCGAGCCTTAATGGACTATCCTCGAGGAGAGCCTCGAGGATCCATCTGTAGAGTCCACTGAAGGCGATAGATCGCAGCAACCTATCGCAGATGACAGAACTCTGTTGGCAAAGGATGACGGTCATGACCGGTCATGACTACGAAGTTCAGTAGTACACATATTATTTCTCAAAATAACGAAGTCAGCAACACTGACACTTAACGGATATGTATTAAACATATTACAGTGTTGGCTGGTATAAATAATTATGCGGTCACGTTCCTCGTTGCGCGATAGTTGGTACCTCACTTGAAATTTTAACAACATGGCGTCTCAGGTTGGGAAGAAAATAATATTTTATGTTTTGTGTTACCGTTTAAGGAGAAATATAAAGTAGAATAGTTCTGAAGTCGTGTTCAGCTGGATATGATTATCAAAACCGGCAACGAGCATGAAGATATGAATAGATTATTAGGTATGTAATGAATTATTTTAGCTTTCAGTCGTCATTTTCCAATTTGTGTGGGGGCGTTACAAGAATACGAAATATTTAGTTACACGAGAAGCGGGATTATCAAATAACAAATACCTATGCCCTGTCTGTTCTGACGTAATTTATCTACGCGGTTGGCCCCAGATATTTAGGAATCTTGGACTACTTCTCATAATTTCGTAAGAAATGTAGGGGTGCTGTTTAAATGCGATGGATATTTTAGTTGAGGGATTTAAAAGCGTAGAAATCAGTAACATTCCTTTTAGCTGTGATTGTGTACGTACCGGAATGTCTTGAGATAACATCATGGACCGATTTTTATGACGTTTCGGAGATGTGTCATGAATTCGATAGCCAAGAGCTGTGGAGTATTGCATATGTACATGTTATTAATAGGTTTTGGAATGACATGATAATGAGTAGATTCTAAAGGGTTCTGACGACGGTAAATGACACACAGAATTACTGGGTTTTTGGACTTTTCCCATTGTCCGTAATTCTAGGTGATAGAAGACACAACATTTTGGAAACTGGATCTGTTTCCCCGTGACAGAAGTCCACTGATTGAGATTAGCTCTTTTGAAGGAGCCCAACTGTGTAGGTGTCTTCCTTCTTCACCTGAAGAGGGAAACAGATCCCATATCCAAAACGTTATGTCTTCTGTTACCTAGAATTCTGGACAATGAAAAAAGTCCAAAAACCCAGTAATTCTGTGTGGCATGATAATGGTTAGTGTTGTAAGCATCATCCTTTTCTGATCATAGCGAAGCCTTGTATAATGTTTCTAAGTTTATTTATGTGCTTATTTATTATTAGAATTATAGTAATTTTGGAATAGTGCATTCTTCTAATGTATTTTTATTAAGTCGTTATTTAATAATTATTATTTACTATCAAATTTTCGTTGTTTATCAATATGAGAGTGAAGTTTATCTAGGTTTTTCCTCTGCCTCTACCTCTTCTTCCCTCATACTTCTCTTCTATCTCTTACTATAAGCTGTGTGATCCAATCTGGATCTTGACCTCTACTAGCAACATTTTTCAGTCTCGCTCTCTAGTTACTTGCTTTCAGATATTATCTCCCCCCCCTTTATCATCTATATAAGGCTTTCTGATAAAACAGAGTACTGGGTTATGTGTTTTAACTTTCTTTATTAGCACCTCATTTCATTTGCTTGCTTCATTGGCTTCAATGGTGACATCCTAAGTAATGGCTTTGTCATAGTTGATTTGAGGTTCTCATGGCAGTGGCTAAGAAGAGTACAGTTGCCTGGGCTGTAATGCCATTAGTTAGTAGAGAACATATCATTTCAGAGGAATGTATCACCCCCATCTTCAGGGTCAAGGAGTAAACCAAGCAAAAATCCAGCAGAAGCAGGTTGCAAACTAAGCACCTGCTTCTTTTGATTTCCTGTTTGGCCTACAGATTTACCCTAAAGATGGAGGAACTATGTTCCTCTGAAACATAGGGTTCTCTCTGAGGTACATGGCAATAACAAAAATAAAATAATTAAAAAATACCATAAAATTCACACAGTGATTTATCACTATAATGTAGCAATATGTTTCAGAGTACTTTTTAACTTAATTTAAGAATAATAAATACTCCAAAAGAGATGTAAGAATAAATATTTTAAACATATAGACAGATTTATTAACAAGCAGAGTATGTCAACAATTATTAAAAAATTCTTGAAGAGACTAGAAGACATTACACAACAAATAATTCTTAAGTTTCTTCTTAAAAACGTTAAAATTTATTATATTCTCTAATTCATTTGGAAGGCTATGAAATATTTTGGTTCCCATACTAATCATCTCTCTCTTTCTATGCTCAGTATTACAAAATTGTACATACAAATTGTGTTTATGAATAGTGTTATAGCCATGAACATCAGAATACTGGGTGGTATAAATCTTATTTTTTATTATAAAACACAGGATCTCAAAAATAATAAGGCAATAACAGTTAAAATCTTTAATTCACGAAACAAATTTCTACAGGAAACTTTATTTTTATCACCTTTTACCACCCTTACACATTTTTTCTGCAGTTTAAATAGAGTGTCAGAGTCCTTTTGCACCCCACCCCAAAAAATAATGTATTTCAACATGGACTCAAATTTTGCAAGATACACACTTCTTAAAACAGTGTGGCTCACTGAGTCCCATAGGGATTTTATCAAATAGGTAGTCTTGCTAAGTTTTTGACACACATATTGGGTGTGGGTTGCCCAACTTAAATCTTCAGTAATGCAAATACCCAAAAATTTTACATCCACTGAACAAACCACCTCCTTATTATTTATATAAAAAAGGGGTCTGGTACTTGGAATAGGTCTACTTCCCCGAAAAAATAATACCTTTGACTTATCCATGTTTATTATTCATAATAGATATACTTAATAGAGACAGTAGACAGGTACGTAACATAAATCTATATCAACCCTCAACTCGTTTATCATTATATCAAAAAGGCTCATATTATATGGGCATCAAACTATTCAACTGTCTTCCACTAAATTTTAAGCAATTATATAAAGATATTAAACGGTTTAAATTAAAACTAAAAGAATTATTGAGTTGTCACCCATTTTATACTGTGGATGAATTTGTTGTATATACTAGTCGGTAAGATTAATTGTATTCTGGGTCTATTCTTATGTCTTGACTTAGTTCTTTGTACTATTTATTTATCTAATATTTCTTTTCCACATTCTAAGGTATTGGATTTTATGGAAATAATAGATGAGTAATGAAAATGAAAAAAAAAGAGTAATTATTAAACGATTTTCATAAAACCAGTTTTCTAATTGGTTCTTTACATTTTGAATTTTTTCATTTAATGATAAGATATTTTTTCCAGTAATCAGTATATTTGTATAATCAGCAAATAGTACTACCTCTTCATTATATATAACTTGGGGCAGATCATTTATAAATAACAGGAATAAAAGGGGTCCCAAAACAGAACCTTGAGGTACACCATATTTAATTGCTTTAAGGGACGAGGTAACTCTCTTCATTTCGAAGTTGTTTCATCCATATAGTGAATTTCAACAAATGTACTCATCAGGTTCACAGGAAGTTTACATCACAATGCTATTTAAATATTACTAGTCAGTCTAAAAGCATCTATATTAAATTTAATTCAGTTTTGATTGGGAACTATGTAAAATGAAATAAGTCATTCCAAATGCAAATAAATATAGAATAAAAGTGCCGTTTCCAGCAAAAGCTGTTATTACTTTCATTCTGTTCAATAAGATTTATGCCCTCACAATCTGTGCTCTCACATCTCTTTGTGGTAGAATGTGAGGCTCACAGGTAATGGGACCAGTGTTTTGTGCAGCAGCTATCAGCATTTGAGAGTTGGTATATGTTGGGCCATGTGACTACATGCTCCTTTGTATTTGGTAGTCATTGGGATTCATTTTATTTTACGGCTGCAGTAATCATTTTCTTGGTGTACTGTTTATTTTTCAGAAACATATCATAAATTGTTAGAGCTGAAGATGTTATGTATTAACAGGTGACCCAAGTACTAGCATGGAAGTGTACTATCTTTTTAATACATCTACAGTAAATTTCTTACCATGATTGCACCAACAGATGGAAGTTTGCTCATCAGCTCACCCATATAAAAAATGAACAGTAGTAATAGAAGAAACCTGCCTATTATCGAACCAATCGCCAGCATGCATGTTCACTTTCTTTTTATCAGTCTATGGTACAGCTCCAGAAAACTTGATCACTGATATGTAGCCTCATCAAATGTTTATTCTCACATTTCATTCACTTGCCGGGATTCCAGATCTTTGTGAAAACTGATCATTTCCTCTCCAGTTCTCAGCAGAACCTACAAATTCCTCACTTCCAAAGGAATTCACATTGCAAGATAACTATCCTATAAAACTGCCAATCATGAATTTGTTGCTGGAGGTAAAATACAGAATGACTGAGCATGCATTAACATAGTGGACAACATGGTAATAAATTGTAAAGTTAGTTGGGTAAACTGTTAATACACAAGCATGTAAAGAAATTTAAATCTAGCGAAATTGGAGAAATATATCACATGTACAGAATGTTAACGTTAAGTGTTTGGAGAGGAAGTAATAGAATATAAGGTTTAGTGTGGGTTAAGTGATTTCATTGCAGAACTGAAGACATGACACAGTGAAATGTGTAGCCTCTGTGAGATATGAGATATTTATGGCATGATATCCCAGAGGAGTAGAATCTTAAAGACCTAGTTGTCTGACAACACCAAGAACTGATTTCAGATGTGGGATAAGTCACTGGAATAGTGCGAAGTGATTGCTGAGTGACTGGAAAATAAGAGAAGAGTTGGATGTGAATAGAGAAACTATGTGATTAATTTTATCAAAGGTAGAGAACGTTTGTTCCAAAATTATACTAAAATATCTTAGTGGCAAGTAAGACATGAGGGGATAAGAAATTTGCTGACCTTTCAGAAAGATTGTAGAACTGGACCCTTTGCAGAAGAGGTCTGGGTCCTCCAGCATGTCCCAGAAATAAAATATGTACAGTAGAAATGTCCAGAGCTCAGAGAAATCAAGTGAATGTCAAAACCATGCTGATCAGCTTTGTTAATATCAAAAGAATTATCCATTTATCCATTATGTATTTATTCCTCCAAGAAAGGAAAAAAAAAAATAGCCCAGCATTCTGCCTTAACTTGTGAAATACTGTGGCAAATATTTGGATGGACAAATTGAGTTCTTGTTGAGACAGTGCACCTTCGCTCACAGAATCTTCAGGAAAGTGATTTTTGGGCAAGAAAGAAACATCTGTGTTGGCACATCCAGTATGTTTGTCTTATTTAACCCCATGTAACTTCCCCATGTTCTTGAATCCAAAAGTCACCTCTCAGGGGTCACATTTTAAATCATTCAGAGCAATGTTTTGACAGTACTAAATGGACTTTTGGAAACTAATTTCCACCAAATACACTGGAA